ATATCCGTTGTCGGAGGTATAAATAAAGTAGGTTCGTTCCAAAAAGATTCTCGCTCTTTCCGCAAATTGTATATATTTTCAACGAGTTCATCGACCGCTAGCAAAGTTTCCCATCTCTTCCTGTATATCTTATCTAATTGGTAATACACTGTTTGGCAAAGGAGTTGGACCTTTTCTAACTAACCAATGTTTGTCCTGTTTTTCAAGAATAAGAAAATTATATACAGATATAACTTCATAGAAAAATATCCTGTACATAAATAATAGCTTATACATATAACAATGCTATATACCTGTGCACGGGAACATTAAAATTTGGGGTCTTTGCTTTCGTGTCATTGTATTTATCATTATGTCTATCAGCAGGTGTAAAAGGTGCGTGAGGGGCTGGAGGTGCTAATACCATGAGGAAAGGTTGATCGTTCGAGTATGCGTTAATAAAATCTATGGCCAGATTACTCTAGAATACATATATATTATACATTTAATTAAAATAAAAATAAAAATTATATATATATATATTTTTTTTTTTTTTTAAATAAATATTATATATATGTATTTTTAACTTAAATACTTTTTTTTAACTTTTCGTTGTGACGATTTGAATTGTTGTCTCATGTTAAATTTGTATATAAAAAATTTTTATTTTTATTTTAATTAAACATATAAACTACTATATGTATTCTAGAGTAATTTTTAAAAATAATTTTATATTATATTATAATTATATATTACATTATATTAATTGTATACAACACACACACACACACACACATAATTATTCAAAGTAACTTTAATTTTCTTTAATCAAACAGATCAGATTTGAGATGTCGATCCAAATCATCACGATAAAAAAATTTAAAGAAATTTAATAGCGCTTATGTATACTCTGTGTTGAAAATATCCTGCATACATATTATATACTTACGATTACATCCGTAAGATAATCGCTCGAATTTTCACCGTACTTGGTCTCGGTACCATTTATCGACAACGAATAATCATAATATTTGGAATTTCCTAAAAGACCAGCCCACCAGTCCCATCCCACTGGTACGTGAGCTGCACCACCGACCTTTTCGCTTCCGTACTGCAAAATTTACATATATCGTGCGCATTTTATATTTTTTATCAATTTTAAGAGCCACACAAATAGCAATTGAGAGAGAATTAAAAAAATAAAAAGTAGGAAAAATTCAATATCAATTTTTCCAATTTTACAGAAAATTTGTTCGTCGAGTCCTCGTTTTTAATTCAATCATTCACAAAATCGTTGTAGAAATATATATATATATATATATGTAATATATATGTTGTTTTTTTAACGATCGCGATTATCATATTGTAATTGTAAATTGTATTGTACCTCGTTCAGGTATTTTCCGGCGTAAAACGTCTTGTATCCGGCGATGTTTCGCAGGAGAGCGGCAAATGTTGCCGGTTCTTGCGATCGTTGCCATTGCGTGCTACTGCAACCACCGGCGATAGAATTGTTCACCGTCAAGTGATTATGCTGATATCGTCCGGTCAGGATGGACGCACGATTCGGGCAACAGATAGGCGAAGCTACGAACTGGACACACGGTATATTTTCTTTAAATATCTCGAAAGAAAATATATAATCTTCTATAACATTAAATATAAATAAAGAAACTTACGCAATTCGTGAACGTGGCACCCTGAGATGCTATGAGATTCAGGGTATTCGTCATCGGCGTCTGAAAATTTAAAATCAAATAAAAACGCAGGTGTCTCCGAAGTGATACTCTTGATTTAGCGCGCATTTATTTCGTAATTTATTCCCTTTTTTATTAGTGTAGCTTCTCATTTAAAAATTATGTAGCGATAAGAAATTATATAAGTATAGCAATTAAATATAAAATTTTAAGATGATAAACTTTCATTATATATAAATAAAACATATTTACCATGCCATCTAAAGTTAAATCTTGATCGTCGGTAATAATCAGCACGATGTTTCCAGGCGCAATCGGCGCCACTAAGCAATTCAGCGACAGAAAGAGAACCGCCAAATAATGTATCTTGCTCGGCGTCAGGAGATTTCCCGGTTGAATATGCATCATGCCAGAGAATGATTTTATTCTATTTCCGTCGCAAGATTAGACACAATGGCCAGAAATATCTGCGTATATATATTAAAAATTAACTCATATATTATTTTCGCGAATCGCGCCCCGAGAAAGAAATCAAATGTACGCGACAGCGACGTCGAGTCTAATCGAGGCACTGTAAGATTACTGCCGATTATACTATATACTCCGTGCTTATATATTAAACATACGCGCATCTACGTATCTCAAAGTACCCGTGCGAAGTGTCAAACGCTGAAGTGTCAGTCGGCGCCGCTAGATGGCGCTGACCGAGAAAAAGCTGGTAAGTCAGCCTTCTCGATAGGAATTTTACCCTCGCGAGGGTAAATAAGATTCTTGAGTGAGGATCGACGAATCGACCGCCAAAGCCGCCAGAGGGCGGTCGAGAGCGGAGGTCTCGGAACCCTCTGACGGCACGGCGTGTCGCCGTACGGCCGGAGTCACGCACGCGAGAGGCGCGTACGGACTCGCAACATCCGTTGCGTGTCACACGTTCTCTCGGGCGGCGTGCCGCGAGCGCAGAGCCCAGCCACGTGCACGCCGGACGCACACACGCGTCGCGCTATTACATAGCGGCGTCCGCCTACACATTCCACTACCTCCCGGCGTCCCGGATCTCGTAACCCGGAGAATATAACGCAGTAAGTTTTGCGAGGCACGACAAGCCACGTGCGTCCATTCGACCCGCGCGTCTTTCCTCGCGCGTTCTCGCTCTCTCCTGTTAAATTCTCTCTCGCTTTTTCTCGCCCTATATACGGAGTCGAAAACTCCGCTCACCGTTCTCGGCGGCGACGGTAGGTAATGCGGCGCCAGTCGTCGCGCGCATGCGCATCGTCGTGGTTTGCGCGCATGCGTCTTGGCCACGACGCGGCGCTACTAGTCCTCGCGTGGAATCGTCTCGCGTCGCGGCTCCAACGGAATCGGCCAATCGGAGCGTCTCGCTCGCGCGGCCTCTGCCTATCGGACGCGCGCTACGGCGTCGCCGCCGTATTATCGAGTCGCTTCTGGCACGCCCTACAACTTCCTCCATTGTCCTTCCTTTCCGGGGTCCTCTGCGAGGAGAAGGATGGCTCAGAACAATTATTTTGGATTTACTCACGGCGGAACGCAATATGGGTACGAAATTCGTTTACATCTAATATTATTAAGTAGCCAGGATTAGACTGAGCGAAGATTCCGGGCCGTTTGCGCGACCGCGCGAGTGATAAAAACGTCGACACGTTTCTTCCAGCGGCCCAGCCGGCTTCGGCGGCCATTTCTTTCGTTCGATCGGGAAAGAGAATAGCGTCCGTTGAGCGTTCATCGAGCATTCTCGAACTCCGCGTGGCGTGCCACGTGCGGACGCTCGACGCGGAACGCGATATTCCTTTTATTCTACGATTGTTTCTCCGATAGGGCTACTAGCGCTGCCGCTTATCAGACCGGGCAACCGGGATATGCGGTAACCCCGGCGGCGACCGCGGCGACTTACACTCAACGACCCGCTGCCGCTGCCGCGACCGGCTACGAGACTTACCAGGCAGCTGCCGCTGCGGCCGCAACCGGAACAACGTATGCAGGTAACGTTCGATTATGCTGTATATATACATGGATACGAATATTATTCGAGCTTTCCACGAGCCTCGTGGATCTGCCTCGTGGACGTTTTGCGAGATTTATATTGAATGTACAAATATTTATGTCCCTTATGTATCACATTCTTGCTCCAAGATTTTTGCATTCGCATACACATTGAATTGGAGGCTCCGCTGAGAGAAGTTGCTGACCTTGCTCAAGGTGATTTGTGTTGAAAAGAAGGGATAAATCATTTTTATGAGATTTTTTTAAAGAAAATTACAAGTCATAAGATATGCATTTTTAATTTGCGAGTACAATGGAAAATTTGGTAGAAATTTATATTGAATGTACAAATATTTACGTTACTTATGGATCATGTTGCTCCAAGATTTTTGTATTCGCATACATTGAATTGGTGTCTCCGCTGAGAGAGGTTGCTAACCTTGCGCAAGGAGATTTGTGTTGACAAGAAGAGAAGAATCATTTTTATGAGTTTTTAGGAAAATCACAAGTCCTAAGATGTGTATTTTTTAATTTCTTATTCAAATAATTACAAATATAGATCAGTTTTTTGTCAAATTTACTTTTGCGAAAATAAATGACACAAATTTATTTAAATAGTTGCATAAAATAGAATAAAAAGTTATATTTCTGTACTGTATAATTAAATTTTAATAATATATTTTTATAATTTGTGAGGAATAAAAAATAGAGACTGAGGAATAGTGACTCGTTCACTATTTCATGTATTTAAATAAAATATGATCAAGCTACCTAAAACTTGGAATATTTGAATAGATATCTCGTATGTAATAATGACAGTTGCGATACATTTTGCCTTGCAGCTGCAAACCCTGGTACTGTAGCTCAAACATACGATTACGGTTACGGTAGAGCTGCACCTGCAGCCACATACGACGCAACCAAAACCTACTATCAACAACCAGCTGCTGCTGCAGCAACTTATACTACTACTGAAACACATTACCAAGCTGCAAAGCCTGCTTACAGTACGACTAGTGCTTATACTGGCACTGCCAGACAAGCCACCACCACTGGACAAGCTAAAACTTATCAAGCATCTAGTACAGCTTACCAACAATCGAATCCTACACAGAGCGCTACTTATTCTTCAGGATACACAGCTCCAGCTACACCTGCTGCTACGCCATCAACTGCGACAAATAGTAAGTTGTTTGTTAAATCTTTTTCCCTTGTGCATTTTATCTCCAAAAAACTCCGGTCCTGTTTTGATCACTAACTGTGACGTAGGAACTAATAACATGAAATTGATCCTCTCATGACACGTGAAAAGATGAAAAAAAGGACAAAAATTCACAAAAGCTCTGCTAACATTCTCGAACGTGATAACAACTCGAGGATTTAGCAGAAGTCTGAAATTTTTCTATCTACTCCTAAATTATGGAGTAAATTTTCGAATATATCAGACTATCTCAATATCGCGAAAATCTTACTCAATTCGTATTTTAATGCATCTCGAAATTGATAATAGTAAAAATTTTGTGCCGCGCGAAAGTACAAAAGGTTTGGTGGACTCCTCCAAAGTTTGAGGTTTCAATTTCATTTCCCTTAGAAACGGCGAGTACAACGTATTCCGGCTACGACGCAGCGCTATATAGCGCTGCGACTATGTATGTAGCCCAACAGAGTGCAAACAGCAATTCCACTAACCAGAAGACTGGAGGTTGGCAGGGCTACGGACGAAAGGGATTCGGAGCTGGCGGGGAGGAATGAAAGCAATGCGGCCCAAGCAGCCTCCCAAACCTCAGCAACTACACTATTGCGATGTCTGTAAGATCAGCTGTGCCGGACCGCAAACCTATCGTGAGCATCTGGAGGGTCAGAAGCATAAGAAGAAGGAGGCCTCCTTAAAGGTGCCGCAACAGCCCCCCGCACGTGGAGCAGGCAACAGCCTACGTTGTGAACTCTGTGATGTAACCTGTACTGGAAATGACGCCTATGCCGCTCACATCCGAGGTGCTAAGCATCAAAAAGTGGTGAAACTGCATACTAAGCTCGGAAAGCCTATCCCAAGTGCGGATCCTACTGTTTTGAATCCTAAACCGGCCGCAACCACCAAGGCCACCACGACCAAGAAGCCAACGATAACAGCGACTCCCAAAATCAATTTCGTTGCTTGTAAGTGTAAACTTCCACGTTCTTTTCGCGTTGCAAAGTTATCAAGATTCAACTGTATATTTTTGCGAACATTTATATACATACGCTTTTGTAATATGTATTTCAGCTGGAAATTTGGGTACGGTGAATCAGAATCAAACTGTCGAAGTAAAGCAGGAAGAGCCAGTCACTGAAGAAGCTGTGGAAGAAGCTGCGGGCGATGAGAAGGATATCCAGCCGGTCGGTCAAGAGTACATTGAAGAGAACAAATCCGAAGATGGAAAGATTATAAGTTTCAATTGTAAACTATGCGAGTGCCGCTTCAACGATCCCAATGCCAAAGACATGCACATGAAGGGTCGTCGTCATAGATTCGCCTACAAAAGAAGGTCAATCCCGATTTGGTTGTTGACATGAAACCTAGTCTCAAACAACGCAAGATGCTCGAAGAAAAATTACGTAGGCAACAAATGCGCGACGAATATCTACGTCGCAGAGAAGAGATTAACCAGCTGGGACCTATGGGACCTATAATGGATGAGGAAATGATGTATTGGGAAGAAAGGCGTCGTTACGAGGAAGAATGCGAATATTACGAGTGGTATCGACGATATGGACGCGGTCCAGGTGCACCACCCATGCCACGACCTTTCCCAGGACCACCGCCCATGATGATGTTCCCTGGTCCACAGAGACGACCAGATTCGTCGGATGATAAGCACGTATTAGCACATCATACGACCATTTATCCCAAGGAACAAGAATTATTGGCAGTCCAGAAAATTGTTTCTCACACAGAGAAAGCGTTGAAGTTTGTGTCAGATGCTTTAGCCGAGGCTGGTAAGTATGATTAAAAAAAAAAAAAAAAAAAAATATCTTCCACTTTTGGATTCGATCTAAGAAATTTCAATTATCAAGGATTACATGTGTTACTGTTTATAGGCAAGAAGAATACTCCTGTAAATGCTAATGCTGCCGTAGCAACACCGGCTGTGGCTGGTACACCACAAGCAAATGCGGACGCGTTAAAGAAGGATGAAGCCGACAAAAAGAAGGCGGTCACACCGCAGAAAGAAGATGGCAGCGACGGAAATCTCTTTTCATTTCAAAAGGAGAAGGAAGATTCTAGGATACTTCGTGGCGTTATGCGGGTCGGCAACTTGGCCAAAGGTTTATTGCTATCTGGGGATAATCATGTATGCCTCGTTGTATTATGCGCTGAAAAACCAACAAGGTATTCAAGATGATTTTATGCACGTATTATGTAATATATTATATTTTAATTTCTATATATATATAAATTAAATGTTATAGGACGTTGCTCAACAAGGTCGCTGAAATTTTACCTGGTGAACTGAAAAATGTAGCTCCTGAGGAAACATATAATGTCGGCAAGCATCCGGAATCCGCGGCTTTGACTGTCTCAGGTGGTACAGTTACCGTCAGCGTGACGCTTACCAGTCCTCTAA